TTTTTTTTTTTTTTTTTTTTTTTTTTTAATTCTCACTTTTTCGGTTTCCTAATAAGAGATCGGAAATATTATTTTATGAATATTAAAGAACAGTAAAACTTCGTCCTAGATGGCAATTTCCTTTGAAAATTTTGGAAAGGTTTTTAAGAAAATAGTGCCCAAGCGCTACAGTAAATTCGAAATTTGGAGCACTTTTTCACAGAAAATGTTTGAGTTTTCGAAAAACATCACTTTAAATCATTTGAAGCACTTTAACTCACAAATACAATAGTTCTTAAAAATTGCTGGAAATGTGCATATTAATGGCGGAGAGATCTTTCAATAAAATTACAATTGTGTATTTTTTGGAAAAATCAAAAAATACCTCGAAATAAATTTTCCCTCATTAAAGAGTGCAATTAGCAATACCCTTTCGAAAAGTTCGAAGAAAAAATTTGGAGACCTTTTGAGAAAATGCCGTTTGAGCGTTTCTGAAATTGCGAATGTTAGAGCTAGTTTTGATAGAAAACGGTTGAGTTTTCGAGAAGCTTTATCTGACATTATTTAAAGCACATGTACTCATAACTATAGCATGTGAACAAAGTCTGGCTAATGTAAATATTAACGACGTGAGAGACAAGTCAACAATATTACTTTTTTGTCATTTTTGGCAAAACAAAAAGAAAGAGAAACATGAAATTAACGTCATCTTATAGGGTATATTTTGTACAACCCTTTCCAAAAATGTAAAGAAAAAATTGGAGCAGTTTTTAAAAAAAAGCCTGTTTTGGCGATTTTTTAAAATTGCACAAATTGCACCTAATACTGCGCGAAAACTACTAAAATTTTCAAAAAATGTAAATGATATTATTGAAAGAACAAATTATAGGCAACAAATTTCATTTGAATGAAAAGTCTCGATCTTTAATTTTGTACTTGTAGGAAGACCCCGAATAAATTTTCGGGGTCTTCCTATATAAACATAAAAATACTTATGAAATTGTCGAAAACTCAAAGTTAACCATGAAAATCGGACCTATATACCTTTATAAGTGTATTTTACTATATTCTTAGCAGAAATTTAAAGAAAAAAATTGAGCCATTGTTGAGAAAATTTTGAAAATGTCCCAGGGGATTGATGTAAAGTACTCCCAAACTCCAATAATGATTTTCAAAATCGCTGCGCTTCGACTCAGACCAAATAAACAGGGATTTCTTCAATTTGGAAAAAATCCTTAGCATGGTTTAGGCGCTAGTATTGTTCTCATACACCAGACTGTCGGACGGACGGACGGGCAGTCGGGCGTTTTGAAAGAAAAAAAAAGAAGAAGAAAAAAGAAAGAAAAAAAAAAGCAACAATTTTTCCGTATAAGGGGACCGCAAAAGTGTATTTCCGTTGAAATCTCTAAATGGATTTTCCGAAGCATTCATAACTTTCCTTATACTACTTTTTATTACTCCGTATATACGTATGTATATGGGAAAGTAAAAATAGAACAGATCATTACATAAGGCAAAGCAATATCATTCTCTGTTTATCGTAACCAGTTAATGTAATTCCACTTCCATTCTTCTAATACTGTACATTTTTTGAGAAGACAGTTTTAACGTTCTATTATAATGATATTTTATACAATATTAAATAATATAACAATTTTAGTTCGTCCCGAACCAATTTTTAATGTTAACAAATATATATCCGAGATGGGTCACGAGGGAGAATTTGGACCGCAGGCTCCTCTATTTCATGTACAGATTTCTTTGAAAATGTAAATCCTTGTGATTTTCAGTACCTTTTCTATAATCTTCTATCCGCAAAATCCTTTACTCATCTCGTAATAGCAGACTATATGCAAATTCTCAGAAATTATTTTCATATCACCGGTTTCTCTGGGTTCCAAAGCTGCGTAATGTCTGTTTAGGTTGGAATTTTTAACACACTGCAGTTCTTTCAGACACAGTGACTCTTCGCCATTGTTAAGGTATTCACAAAAAGAAGCATTTTCCCCCCCAAATGGAAAGAAAATTAACGGGCATAAACGGACTCATAGATGCCCGGAACCAAGGCAATGGCCCACTGCCAAGGCTCCGTCCCTGCCCCTTTGCTGACACTTTCTCTGAGCGTCTTACTGGGAAGGGGAACGCTGCCTTGACATCATTTCTCCACTAGTTGGCGAACACTGGTATACATGGTGGCTCATTTGAATCAGTTAAATTTTTGGTGAGTAATTCAGTTGAGGGGTTGTCGTTTGAACAAAAAGCGCAATGGAAAGAAAAAATAGCCAGACCAAAATGAAATATTTTACAAGAGGATGGGAAATATACAAAGGCTTGTTCTTGATTTTAGTATTGTTGCAAGATTTAATTAACATTATTATTATTATTATTATTATTATTATTAACAATAATAGTAATATAATATTACATTTGTAGTTTCCTGATTTCTAGCTTCGTAATATTAGAAATTTCACAAATTAAGTGTATGAGGTTACAATATGATCGTGACTCAGCTTATCCAAAAATTAACCTCACGAGTCGCTAATGTTTATCTATGGTATTGTACAACGCATTCACGCGTATTTGGCGACGACTTGAAGAACGGAGAAATATATATATATATATATATATATATATATATATATGTGTGTGTGTGTGTGTGTGTATGTATATGTACTAACGAGTTCAATTTTGCCAGTTAGGATAGTTAAGGCTGAAGCTGCCCCGTACCTGAAGGGTCGCGGGTTCGAACCCCGCCCAGGGCATGGCTGTTTGGGTGTGTCCGTATACCGGTTCCGTCACCTTCAAAGTTACACAGGTCGCTATATGACCTTTGCAGTTGAAAAGCAACCTTAAATAAGTTTAAAAAAGTTCAATTTCATTCCGTTATTCAATTTCAAGTTTCCAATTGTTGATTGACATGATTCGAACAAGAATGATGATGACTTGCTGCTTGACTTTAGTACTATTATAAGAAATTTCACTTGGAATGGGTTCATAGCAGTAATTTTGATGTAGAAAATATTATTTTGAGAAAGGTTAGAAGTTGTTCTCTTAGTTGTCATTTATTTCCGGGTAATTACCTCTCTTAGGCAAGGAGAAACTTTTTTATAGACACGTTGATAAGACTTACCAATAAATTTATGTAGGGTGCAGTGATGCCTCCTGCTCTGGCACATGTGCTGCTGGCTCCTAATGCCACATTCCGAATTACAGTTGGAAATTGCTCTGCTGTAACTATGTAAATGGTGCCATAGGAAGCTGTGACAGCCAGCTTCCCCACCATTGCCAATGTGATAATAAGCCATTTCTCTTCTAGAACAATTTTTGAAATTTAATTTTTCTTATGTCATTGTGTAATAAATGGAACTGAAGTAAGATATTCATTATATAATACAACAACAATAATAATAATAATATTATTATTATTATTATTATTATTATTATTATTATTATTAACAACAATCTATACACACACATCATCACGAGACTTGCGCCATTCTTCAACGTTACACGTTCGCCTCTTAAACGTTCTTTACATTCTTCAATAACAAAATTTAATCAAAAGCGATGGAAACTTTTTTGTTAATTGTCCCAGGGGCTTCATCTAAAGTACACCGAAAATTAAAATATCGTTTTCAAATTCAAGGGGCTGCGACATCAGTCAGATCGATTGGCGATTATCAATTTTGGAGAAAATTGGCTGCACGGTTCAGCCGCAAGCGTGACGGACAGACGGTATCAGTGATCTACAAAACATGGATTCTGGCTACAACACGTGTTAGATTTTTTAAAATTTAGCATAGGAATTTATCTACTGCACGTTTTTGCTGCCAGGGCCCCGAAATAAGAGTTTTTCTGCCGAAAAATCGGTGTTTTTTCGCGCAGGATCGCATAACTTTTTCTCTGTCGCGATAGTGGTAGCGAGAACGTGAAAATAAATGTACTTAAACCCGGTCCTCGCAGATCGGTCGTAAAACCCACGCTATAATTTGCCCTCGTTCAAGAAATATTTTTAAATGGCAAGGAATATGCAATTGAAAAGCGTGTATATAAATGGAAGAATCTATATTTCATTTTGTTTTCTAGTGAATAATGTGCAATTGGCTAATGTTATACAGTCAGATCCTACTTGAAGTGAATATTATAACATATTTTCCCTACCTGTGGGAACAGCAATTGTCAGTAATAAAGCTGCACCTCCTGCTAGCATACTGCCACACAAAATTGATTTTCGACCCCAGCGGTTGAGTGTCAACAATAGAAATATGTAAGCTGGTATTTCAACTGCTCCAGATATCAGAAAGTTAAGATAATTATTACCACCTAAATCGGAGGTACTCCAAGACAAGCCATAGTACGTGCTGTTGTTCACAAACCTGTTAGGAAGCATTGTCACATTAATATATTAATTATATCTAATGATTTGATTATTGCACACTTTCAAATATTTACAATTACCAGATAAAGAATATATAGAAAGCACGCCTGCGAAGCACTGGATACTTCAGAAGATCCAGAAAGGATGGTTTTTTAATCTGTTCTTGTGGAAAAATATTGCCATTGCTATCTTCCTGGTGCATGAGACCACTGATTACATCTGTGGGAATATGAACTTGATTTTTCCTGGCTACTTTCAAAATAACTGCTTTACCTTCTTCTTCTCGACCATTGGAAAGTAGCCAACGAGCCGATTCTGGTATTATCCTAGTAGATTATTAATGTAATTTTATGTTTTGTAAATGAACAATGTCAAAGTACTGTTTTGCCGCATTAAATACTCACCACCAGTAGCTGAGAAAGAAAAGAGCTGGCATAGTGAATGCAACTTGTAACAACCGCCAGTTATTAATAAAATAAGAAAATGCAGTCACAAAGATGTAGCCAGATGTGAAGAACAATTGACAGGGAATTCCAGCCATTACGCGTTTGCTGGGAGCTACCATTTCAAGAGCTGTAACAAAAGAAAAAAAGGAAAAAAAGTTGAAATTTTCTCGCATTAAAATATTCATTCTTTCTACACACAAGCGTAAAAAAGGTATAGGCACTTTGAACTGTCACAGAAAATCTATTTTCCAGCCTACAAGATTAATTTTTTGGGAAAAGTAAATGTGAGGACCAATTTACCCTAATGTCCTATACTTTGTTAAATGTTCCAAATCATTAAATTAAATGTTCAAACTTATTTAAGAATCTGTAATATTTGTCAAAACTGACTTACTTAGTGGTGGGAACATAATTTCATGCATTACTGATATTTATAATTACAAAACACGTCTTAGAAATTACGTTCATCAAGTGTCAGTATCAACAGCTCACTACCAGAAATCCACATACAACACATGTATGTTACTTTACAACGCATTTCCAGATGGCATTAAACAATTGAAGTCAACATACAAATTTAAGTTAAAAGTGAAATATTTTCAGCTGCATAACTGTTTCTATACAATTAGATACTATACTGATCATCAAAAAGAAAAATAATGTTTATTGTAACAAAACAATGATATATAATGAATTAGTTTACAATTGTATTGTAAATTTTTTTTAAAAGACATAACATGCTTGTAACAAATAATGTACCTCTGCTTCCGGGTCAATGACCCCTATCTCGTTCAGGTTTTTGCCGTTTCCCTGATACATTGAGCAAATGCTAAGGTGTGTTTGTAGGCTGAGATGGCCCCTTGTTTTGCTTCTGGACGTAAATGTAGCTTCACTATGCGTACGTTTCGTTAAGTTCTCCTTTGTCTATAATGGTAGGTGTAAGGGCGATTTACTATTTTATTAGCAATGCAGAAAAAACAAATCTGCAGTTTGTTGCGAATACGTTTCCTATAACTCGGAAACGGAAATGTTAATCTCGCGCTTTTTTTAATTTTATTTTTATTTATTTTAACTTTTACTCATCTCTCAACTATTTATAGTTAAAATGATGGGAAGGGATTCTGGAACTCAAGAAAACATGCGCAGATGATCTTCTCCCCCATATGTCATATACACTTTTTACTGTTTTATTGTTGTTGTTTTTGTTGTTTTTTTGACAAAATAAATCTAAGTCTAAATCTAATGGCAATAAGCGTCGTTGCGAGAAAGTAATCATAGTTCAGTGACTGGCGAGAAAGTAACAATGAAACTCAAAAAGAAAAAAGAAATTAATGAAAATTAATAAGGGATTGCTTTTACTTTCTTGCTATCGCTTGCGCAGTAGAGAGAAAAGTTAAGTAATGCCGCGGGGAAAAGCGGCGAAATTTCGTAAAAAACACCTTTATTGTCGGACCCTGGTGACGAAAATTTGTATAAAGCCAGTTGCTAAATTTAGAAACAAAATCCTCTAACATGTGGTGTACCCAGTATCAATGTTGTGTGGGCCGTTGATACCGAAAAATCGTCTGTCTGTGAACAACGCTAGTTAAATCGTACAGTCGATTTTCATCAAAATTAATATTTCTCAATCGATCTAGTTCGTGACGCGGTCCCTTGAATTTGAAACCTATATTTAATTTTTGAGGTACTTTATATGAAGCCCCTGAGCCATTTTTAAAATAAAAAAGTCTCCAACGTATTTTTTATTAAACTTTGTTATTGGATAGTGTAAAGGACGTTTAAGAGAATGGTGCAGGTCTCATGATCGTGAAATACCTTTATTTTTCGACAATTGGAAACGTACAACAATTTTTCAGCGTCTTCCTACAATTAAAATACTAAAGATAAAGATTTTTCTCTCAATGAAATCTACTCCTTAAAGATAAATGGCTTTTGACATAAAGTCATGTACAATTATTCGAAAATTTGAGTATTTTTGCGTAATTTTGCGTGAAGTAAAGGCATTTTTAAATTTTGTATAAACAATTTTTTCCTCAAAAACGGCAACAACAATTTTAATTAAATTTTGACATCGGATAATGTATGAAAAGCTTAAGAGAATGGTGCAGTCTCATGTTCATTAAAAACTCTTTTTTTGAAAATTGCATAAATACAAAAATATTTTTGGCGCCATCCTACAACTACAATCATGAAGATAAACATTTTCCCTAATGAAATGTGTTAATCGAAAACAGATCTTAAAATAATGACATGTTCAATTTTACAAAAATATGAGTATTTGTTTAGTAATTTGGTTTCAAATTAATCGCCCGCTCCTAATTTCCAACACTTCGTGAATGTAACATGAGAAGTGATTCCAGGCAGTTGGATGCCACGTATGTAAGATTTGTACATTATTTCATACTTCTTTGTTCGTTTCTTACATTCGAGCTTTTGTTATACGTTTACAAATTAATCTTTTACAAATTATTTACAATATATGAAAGAAAAATTGCTTTTTCTAGAGAATATCAGATTGGAATGCAACAATGATTTTACGCGCCGCAAAACAGCAGCTGAATATGTGTGAATTACGTCTCATTATTGGGACATGATTTCGCTGTATGAAAAGCAGTTGCATAATTGTCAATTTTTTTCCATATTTGCTTGAAAATATTTAGTTTTCGCACCAAATATTCTATGATTTGTAATCAGTTTTAGAAAAAATTATATCTGAGATGTATTGATTCGGTAAGTATTTGTGGTATAAATAATATTAAATAGGCCTAACCTAATGCTAAAGAGCAAGGAAGTACGTGCTGTTTTAGCACCGCTAGATTTTAATATTAGGTGTTATCGCAGAATTTTGATTGAAAGATGAGTAATATTTAAAGAAATTAAAACCTATATTTTCTCAAAAAGTCTCCGTTTTTTACTTTCTCATACACGTACATACGTAGTATTATACGATGTACGTATATACGCAGTATAAGGAAAGTTTTGTAATGCTGCGGAAAATCGATTTCGAGATTTCAACGGAAATTCACATTTTGGGGTTCCCTGATACCGATAAAGTCTTTTCAACACTTCCTTCTGCCCGACCCCTCCGTTTGTCCGTCCGTCTGTAAACACCAGTAGCACCTAAACTATACGTACGATTTTTTTCAAATTGAAGAAACCCTTGTCCATCCAGCTCGAGTCAAAGCTTTGAGATTTTGAAAAAAATTCTCACAAACTGCTCCAATTTTTTCTTTAAATTTCTTGTAAGAATAGAGGAAAATACACTTAAGGTGGCATAGATCCGATTTTCAGGTTTAACTCTTAATTTTTGAAAATTTCAAAAATTTTAATTTTTGGGGGGATGGCTTTTAACAACCTTCAAAATGGAAGATAGAGATTTTTCCTTCAAATACAATTTGTGTATATATATATATATTGTGACGTACCTGGGAAACGGTACTTTCACGACAAATAAAATCATATAAAGGA